CCACCCTTGGGTGCCCCTGTCCCCTCCTGTGCCACCCACGTGTCCCTGTGCCACCCCGGTGCCACCCTTGGGTGCCCCTGTCCCCTCCTGTGCCATCCTCAGGTGCCCCCTGGGTGTGTCACTGTCCCCTCCTGTCACTTCCCAGTGCCACCCTTGGGTGCCCCTGTCCCCTCCAGTGCCACCCTGGCTGTCACCTGTGCCACCCTTGGGTGCCCCTGTCCCCTCCTGTGCCACCCTTGGGTGTCCCTGTCCCCTCCTGTGCCACCCTGGCTGTCACCTGTGCCACCCTTGGGTGTCCCTGTCCCCTCCTGTGCCACCCCCGTGTCCCTGTGCCACCCCGGTGCCACCCTTGGGTGCCCCTGTCCCCACCTGTGCCACCCTTGGGTGCCCCTGTCCCCACCTGTGCCACCCTTGGGTGTCCCTGTCCCCTCCTGTGCCACCCCCGTGTCCCTGTGCCACCCCGGTGCCACCCTTGGGTGCCCCTGTCCCCTCCTGTGCCACCCTTGGGTGCCCCTGTCCCCTCCGGTGCCACCCTTGGGTGCCCCTGTCCCCTCTGTCCTCTCCCCCTCACGGCCCCGGCCCTGCCCGAAGCCCCCCGGGACCCTCCCGGGACCCTCCCGGGACCCCCCCGCAGGCCCCGTGCCCGGTTCCCGGTGCCGGCCGTCACTCCCGGTTCCCGCTCCCGGTTCCCATTCCCGCTCCCGGTTCCCATTCCCGCTCCCGGTTCCCGGTCCCTCCTCCCAGCTCCTGATCCCGCTCCCGGTTCCTGTTCCCGATCCCGGTTCCCGATCCCAATTCCCAGTCCCGTTTCCAGCTGTCACTCCCGGTTCCCGTTCCCGGTCCCCATTCCCGTCCCCGTTCCCACTCCCGGTTCTCGGTCCCACCTCCCAATTCCCAGTCCCGTTCCCGGTCCCCACTCCCGTTCCCGATCCCAATTCCCACTCCCGTTCCCGATCCCAATTCCCAGTCCCGTTCCCGGTCCCCACTCCCGGTTCCCATTCCCAAGACCGGTTCCCGATCCCAACTCCTGATCCCGGTTCCGATTCCCACTGCCGGTTCCAATCCCGGTCCCGGTTCACGATCCCAGATCCCGATCCCGGTTACGGTTCCCGATTCCCGATCCCAATCCCGATTCCTGTTCCCGGTTCCGATTCGCACTCCCGGTTCCGGTCCCGGTCCCCATTCCCGTTCCCCAGTTCCCGTCCCCGTTCCCCGTTCCCGGTTCCCGCTCCTCAATCCCCGCCCCCGTTCCCGGCCCCGCTCCCCGATTCCCGTTCCCGCTCCTCAATCCCCGCCCCCGTTCCCGGCCCCGCTCCCCGATTCCCGTTCCCGCTCCCCAATTCCCGTCCCCGTTCCCGGTTCCCGTTCCCGTCCCCGCTCCCCCTCACTCGTAGTCCCCGGCCGGCATCGCCTCCGCCTCCCTCACGCCGCCACACCGGAAAGGCCGCGCGGCACTTCCGGCCCGCGCGCGCCACTTCCGGCGGGGCAGGGCGGGAAGCGCCGCGCGCCGCTTCCGGCCCGCGCGCGTCACTTCCGGCGGGGCAGGGCGGGAAGCGGTTGCCGAGCAACGGCGCCATGGCGGCCGCGGCCTGCTCGGAGCGCGGGGCGAGAGTTGGTTATAACTTATAGGCGCGATTTATTTGAAGAAATATTACAACATATAAAAACTACATAAAGTATCGAGTTCCACCTTGTACAAAGCGGCCGCGGGGGGGTTCGGTACAATGCGATAAAAACGGGGCAGCGGGGCCGGGCCCTGAGGGGGGGGAAGGGGAGGTTGGAGCAGCACAGAGAGAGTGGAGGGAGAGGAATTAAAATAAAAAGAAACAAAGAGAAACGAAAGGCGGATTGGGGAAATTAAAAGCGTTTTAGAAAGGAGGAGATGAAAAGCCAGAAAAAAAATCTAGGAATTAAAAAAAGGGAAAAGGAAGAAAAAATGAAGAGGAAAATAAGGGGTTAAAAAAATCTTTAAAAAGAGGAGAAAAAAGGAAAATAAAGAGGAAAAAGGGGAAAGAAAAAAAGGGATAGAAAGAAGGGGGAAAAACAAGGGAGGGAAGAAAGAGAACAAACAAGAAAAAATAGGGAAAAAAAAAGAGAAAAGAAAAAAAAAAAAAAAAAAAAAAAAAAAAAAAAAAAAAAAAAAAAAAAAAAAAAAAAAAAAAGGAAAAAAAAAAAAAGAAAAAAGGGGGAAAAAAANCACAGGTGTGCCAGGTGTCACAGGTGTGCCAGGTGCCACTCACCATCCTCTCCTCCCTCCTCCTCCACCTGGTCAGCCCAGCTGGGCTTGGAGCTGTGGGGACACAACGGCCTCGGCTGGCACCTGTGCCACCCTTGGGTGCCCCTGTCCCCTCCGGTGCCACCCCCGTGTCCCTGTGCCACCCCGGTGCCACCCTTGGGTGCCCCTGTCCCCTCCTGTGCCACCCTGGGTGTCACCTGTGCCACCCTTGGGTGCCCCTGTCCCCTCCTGTGCCACCCTGGGTGTCACCTGTGCCACCCTTGGGTGTCCCTGCCCCCTCCTGTGCCACCCTTGGGTGCCCCTGTCCCCTCCTGTGCCACCCCCGTGTCCCTGTGCCACCCCGGTGCCACCCTTGGGTGTCCCTGTCCCCTCCTGTGCCACCCTGGCTGTCACCTGTGCCACCCTTGGGTGCCCCTGTCCCCTCCTGTGCCATCCTCAGGTGCCCCCTGGGTGTGTCACTGTCCCCTCCTGTCACTTCCCAGTGCCACGCTTGGGTGCCCCTGTCCCCTCCTGTGCCACCCTTGGGTGCCCCTGTCCCCTCTGTCCCCTCCCCCTCACGGCCCCGGCCCTGCCCGAAGCCTCCGGGACCCCCCGGGACCCCCCCGCAGGCCCCGTGCCCGGTTCCCGGTGCCGGCCGTCACTCCCGGTTCCCAGTCCCGTTTCCAGCTGTCACTCCCGGTTCCCGTCCCCGTTCCCACTCCCGGTTCTCGGTCCCACCTGCTAATTCCCACTCCCGTTCCCGGTCCCCACTCCCGTTCCCGATCCCAATTCCCAGTCCCGTTCCCGATCCCAATTCCCAGTCCCGTTCCCGATCCCAATTCCCACTCCCGTTCCCGATCCCAATTCCCAGTCCCGTTCCCGATCCCAATTCCCACTCCCGTTCCCGGTCCCCACTCCCGTTCCCGATCCCAATTCCCAGTCCCGTTCCCGGCTGTCACTCCCGGTTCCCATTCCCAAGCCCGGTTCCCGATCCCAACTCCTGATCCCGGTTCCGATTCCCACTGCCGGTTCCAATCCCGGTCCCGGTTCACGATCCCAGATCCCGATCCCGGTTACGGTTCCCGATTCCCGATCCCAATCCCGATTCCTGTTCCCGGTTCCGATTCGCACTCCCGGTTCCGGTCCCGGTCCCCATTCCCGTTCCCCAGTTCCCGTCCCCGTTCCCCGTTCCCGGTTCCCGCTCCTCAATCCCCGCCCCCGTTCCCGGCCCCGCTCCCCGATTCCCGTTCCCGCTCCTCAATCCCCGCCCCCGTTCCCGGCCCCGCTCCCCGATTCCCGTTCCCGCTCCCCAATTCCCGTCCCCGTTCCCGGTTCCCGTTCCCGTCCCCGCTCCCCCTCACTCGTAGTCCCCGGCCGGCATCGCCTCCGCCTCCCTCACGCCGCCACACCGGAAAGGCCGCGCGGCACTTCCGGCCCGCGCGCGCCACTTCCGGCGGGGCAGGGCGGGAAGCGCCGCGCGCCGCTTCCGGCCCGCGCGCGTCACTTCCGGCGGGGCAGGGCGGGAAGCGGTTGCCGAGCAACGGCGCCATGGCGGCCGCGGCCTGCTCGGAGCGCGGGGCGAGAGTTGGTTATAACTTATAGGCGCGATTTATTTGAAGAAATATTACAACATATAAAAACTACATAAAGTATCGAGTTCCACCTTGTACAAAGCGGCCGCGGGGGGGTTCGGTACAATGCGATAAAAACGGGGCAGCGGGGCCGGGCCCTGAGGGGGGGGAAGGGGAGGTTGGAGCAGCACAGAGAGAGTGGAGGGAGAGGAATTAAAATAAAAAGAAACAAAGAGAAACGAAAGGCGGATTGGGGAAATTAAAAGCGTTTTAGAAAGGAGGAGATGAAAAGCCAGAAAAAAAATCTAGGAATTAAAAAAAGGGAAAAGGAAGAAAAAATGAAGAGGAAAATAAGGGGTTAAAAAAATCTTTAAAAAGAGGAGAAAAAAGGAAAATAAAGAGGAAAAAGGGGAAAGAAAAAAAGGGATAGAAAGAAGGGGGAAAAACAAGGGAGGGAAGAAAGAGAACAAACAAGAAAAAATAGGGAAAAAAAAAGAGAAAAGAAAAAAAAAAAAAAAAAAAAAAAAAAAAAAAAAAAAAAAAAAAAAAAAAAAAAAAAAAAAAGGAAAAAAAAAAAAAGAAAAAAGGGGGAAAAAAAACCAAAAAAGGAGAAAAAAGGGAAAAAAGACCAAAAGGCAACTGAAAGCAGAGGCGAAGGCGAAGCAGCCCCGGAGCCGAGGCCCCCCCGGCCCCCCCGGCTCTGGCCGGGCTCAGGCGGCCGCTCCCGACGGCTCCGGAGGCACCGGGACCGCGGCGAGACCTGCGGGACACGGGGACAGTGAGGGGACAGGGACAGCACCGAGACCTGCGGGACATGGGGACACTGAGGGGACACCCAGGGGACATGGGGACACCCAGGGGACACAGGGACACCGAGGGGACAGGGACCGCGGCGAGACCTGCGGGACATGGGGACACTGAGGGGACACCCAGGGGACACCCAGGGGACACTGAGGGGACACCCAGGGGACATGGGGACAGTGAGGGGACAGGGACAGCACCGAGACCTGCGGGACATGGGGACAGTGAGGAGACACCCAGGGGACACCCAGGGGACACTGAGGGGACAGGGACAGCACTGAGACCTGCGGGACATGGGGACACTGAGGGGACACCCAGGGGACATGGGGACACTGAGGGGACAGGGACAGCACCGAGACCTGTGGGACACGGGGACAGTGAGGGGACACCCAGGGGACATGGGGACACCGAGGGGACGAGGGGACATGGGGACACTGAGGGGACATGGGGACACTGAGGGGACAGGGACAGCACCGAGACCTGTGGGACATGGGGACAGTGAGGGGACACCCAGGGGACACTGAGGGGACACCCAGGGGACACAGGGACACTGAGGGGACAGGGACAGCACCGAGACCTGCGGGACACCGGGACAGAGGGGACACCCAGGGGACACGGGGACACTGAGGGGACAGGGACAGCACCGAGACCTGCGGGACATGGGGACAGTGAGGGGACACTGAGGGGACACCCAGGGGACACCCAGGGGACACTGAGGGGACACCCAGGGGACACGGGGACACTGAGGGGACAGGGACACAGGGACACCCAGGGGACACCCAGGGGACACCCAGGGGACATGGGGACACTGAGGGGACATGGGGACAGTGAGGAGACACCCAGGGGACACGGGGACACCCAGGGGACATGGGGACACTGAGGGGACATGGGGACACTGAGGGGACATGGGGACACTGAGGGGACACCCAGGGGACACGGGGACACCGAGGGGACACGGGGACACTGAGGGGATAGGGACCGCGGCGAGACCTGCGGGACACCGGGACACTGAGGGGACACCCAGGGGGCACGGGGACACTGAGGGGATAGTGAGGGGACACGGGGACACCGAGGGGACACGGGGACACCGAGGGGACACGGGGACACCCAGGGGACATGGGGACACTGAGGGGACACCGAGGGGACATGGGGACAGTGAGGGGACACCGAGGGGACACGGAGACACTGAGGGGACACCAAGGGGACATGGGGACACCCAGGGGACACGGGGACACCAAGGGGACATGGGGACACTGAGGGGATAGGGACCACGGCGAGACCTGCGGGACACGGGGACACTGCGGGGACATGGGGACACCCAGGGGACATGGACAGCACCGAGACCTGCGGGACATGGGGACATGGGGACACTGAGGGGACAGGGACACAGGGACACCCAGGGGACACCCAGGGGACACAGGGACAGCACCGAGACCTGCGGGACATGGGGNTGGGGACACTGAGGGGACATGGGGATACTGAGGGGACATGGGGACACTGAGGGGACATGGGGATACTGAGGGGACATGGGGACACTGAGGGGACAGGGACACGGGGGGGACAGGGACCGTGGCGAGACCTGCGGGACATGGGGACACTGAGGGGACATGGGGACACCGAGGGGACAGGGACACCCAGGGGACACCCAGGGGACACCCAGGGGACACCGAGGGGACATGGGGACAGTGAGGGGACACCGAGGGGACATGGGGACACCGAGGGGACATGGGGACACCCAGGGGACATGGGGACACCCAGGGGACAGGGACAGCACCGAGACCTGCGGGACATGGGGACACTGAGGGGACACGGGGACACTGAGGGGACAGGGACACAGGGACACCCAGGGGACACCCAGGGGACACAGGGACACCCAGGGGACACCCAGGGGACACAGGGACAGCACCAAGACCTGCGGGACATGGGGACACTGAGGGGACACGGGGACACTGAGGGGACAGGGACAGCACCAAGATCTGCGGGACACCAGGACGGTGAGGGGACCCTGAGGGGACACCAGGATGGTGAGGGGACATGGGGACACCCAGGGGACATCCAGGGGACACAGGGACAGCACCGAGACCTGCGGGACACTGGGACGTGTGGGGACACTGAGGGGACATGGGGACACCCAGGGGACACAGGGACACCCAGGGGACAGGGACAGTGAGGGGACACTGGGACAGTGAGGGGACACGGGGACAGTGAGGGGACACGGGGATGGTGAGGGGACACCCAGGGGACACCCAGGGGACAGGGACAGTGAGGGGACAGAGGGGACACCCAGGGGACACAGGGACACCCAGGGGACACCCAGGGGACACCCAGGGGACAGGGATGGTGAGGGGACACAGGGACACCCAGGGGACAGTAGGGACACCATGGGGACACAATGGGATGGTCACTGAGCTGTCACTCAGTGGTCACCCGGGGTCACTCAGGGTCACTCATTGGTCACTCTGGTCACNACTGAGGGGACAGGGACACAGGGACACCCAGGGGACACCCAGGGGACACAGGGACAGCACCGAGACCTGCGGGACATGGGGACACTGAGGGGACACCCAGGGGACACGGGGACACTGAGGGGACAGGGACACGGGGGGGACAGGGACAGCACCGAGACCTGCGGGACACCGGGACATGGGGACACTGAGGGGACACCGGGATGGTGAGGGGACATAGGGACACCCAGGGGACATCCAGGGGACACAGGGACAGCACCGAGACCTGCGGGACACTGGGACATGTGGGGACACTGAGGGGACATGGGGACACCCAGGGGACACAGGGACACCCAGGGGACAGTAGGGACACCATGGGGACACAATGGGATGGTCACTGAGCTGTCACTCAGTCGTCACCCGGGGTCACTCAGGTCACTCAGGGTCACTCTGGTCACTCAGTGGTCACTCAGGGTCACTCAGTGGTCACTCAGCAGTCACTCTGGTCACTCAGTGGTCACTCAGTGGTCACTCAGGGTCACTCAGGGTCACTCTGGTCACTCAGAGTCACTCAGCGGTCACTCATTGGTCACTCTGGTCACTCAGGGTCACTCAGGGTCACTCTGGTCACTCAGCAGTCACTCAGCGGTCACTCAGCGGTCACTCTTGTCACTCTGGTCACTCATTGGTCACTCTGGTCACTCAGGGTCACTCAGTGG